CCCAAGAACGCACCCGCCGCGCCCGCCTCGACCGCATCAACCTCGAGCAGGAAGACCACGCCCTCTCCATCGCGCGCAACCGCGAGCTGGCGACAGTGCAGGCGCAAATCTGGTCCGCGCAGGCAGAGCTCGAGGACTCTCGACGGCAGCGCGTCGCGCAGGACGAGCTGGTGGCGCTCAACGAGCGCGCGCGCATCGAGGAGGATCACTTTGCAGCCCAGATGCGGCGGAAGCGCAACGAGCGCAGCGCGGACCTGGAGCACCAGGCCGCGCTGACGGAGGCGAGCATCACGCGGGCGCGGGCCGTGGAGCTGGCCGAGTCGGACCTGACGATGGCGAGGCAGAGCATGATGCTCGAGTGGGAGAAGCAGATCGCGACGGAGAAGGTCGACCAGGCCAAGACGCTGAGCGCGATTCGCGTGGCGGAGAGGGAGGACGTGGATCGTCTGGACCGGGAGCAGGAGGAGAGGTTCCGGGCGCGGTTGGCGGAGCAGAGGAGGCTTGTTGACGGGCAGACGAACCTCGCGAGCCAGCTCACCAACGCGGGGGTTAATGGGAGGAGGCAGATTGGATACATCACTGGGGAGATTAGAGATTAATCGAGAGGGGCGATGGATGGATCTGTGAAGCTTGGCCCTGTGTCCTTGAGACATGGAGGTTTTGGGCGCGGGGGATGAGCGAGGTCGTCGGTGGGCTAGGTCACAACTTCGGCTCACAATTGCGACTGCCACATTAGCGTGATACTTCTGGCAACTGAATTTCCGCAAGATCAAAAAGTTAGAGAGGGATACGGGTTGGATAGGAACAGGCGTTTGATGGTTTTCCCAATCTTTGTTGGCGGGACGGGCGCATAAGTGGGATTCAAACGGGGCTCACTCTTGATCAAGCCCAGGATACATTTTGAGAATTTGAACGCATTGAAGCGAATTAATGGAAAGACTATTTTCAGGCTCATGACCCTCATTTCTTGGAGATGAAGAATTGGCCTTTGAGGCTGTGATACTGATAAACTTGGATTAAGACGGATAGAGAGTGGACAAAACTCGCAATCGTCCCAAAAGGTGCGTAGCTTGCGAATTGTGTCTTGACACCCCCCCCCCCCCTCCACGACCCTGTTGCCTCTTTCGGCCCCTTTGCTACGAACGGAGAGAACTCCCGATGCTTGGTGTGAAGACGTCAGCTGGGGGGGGGGGGGGGGCAGATACTGGGCAGGGGGGCATTCATACACAGCAGCAGAGAGAAGCGACGATTCGACGAAGAAGGGGGGTTTCTGGATCAGAGGCGGTGGCAGTCTGGCAGAGGTGCGAGACAGAACGGAGTCGGGTGCCATCCGATATGGATCCTCCCCATCACAACTCCCGGGTCTTGGCTTCTTTCTTCAACGCCGATCGTCGGAATTTCTGTCAGGGTCGCTGGCGAGATGAGGGGCGTGACACGGTGACACGCATTTGGGGGGTAGCGCAGTAGTGTCACTATGTGGGAGGGAGCCAGTCAGCGGTTTTCACCTCGCGTGTCTTTGCCCTCGTCTCGTGGGGAATCTTTAAAAAGGCTCATGGTTGCAGTTTGGGCGGATTTCCAGTGTCTTGCATTCTGCGACTCTGATGATCCTTTCAGTGGAGAAGGATGGAACACTTATTTTTCTTCAACGGGTTGTGGACACAAGATTGCATTCTTTCGTGCGACGGGAGTGGGAATCGATTCAGGACCGTTGAACCGTCGATTCGTCGACCACGGGTTTGGAGACTCCCAGTCTCTGGTACGGCCACACTGCGGCGGGGGCGGTTGACATGACGATCACCTCGCGGTATCTGGACGGAAGCTGCGCCGGTGCGATGCTGCGGATGTCACTGTAGGATGCAGGATGGGGGCATAGTTAGGACATTTCCTTCAAGAGGCTGCATGGGAGAATGATACCCTACCTGGTCTCTTCGCTCGGGCCTCCCTTTTTTTTCTGGATCGTGGACTGGGGAGCGAAAGAGAGTGATGACTTACTCGTGGGCTTGCCTCCCGGTTTCCGACTTACTCTGGGTATTCCAATTGTTCTGACTGGTCAATTCAATGGTTGTGGACAAATGTGCCTGTACGGATCTGGAGCGTACGAAGATGATGGTACGCAAACGGGTAGTGACTTCCGAAGCTCCGAGTCAAGATACAGCAAATAATGCAGCCTATGCAGGTATGTCTTGATGGTTGATAGGGAGGTATGGACCATAGTTTTGATGGGTTGACTATGGTCCATGATCTTCAATCTCTCAAGGGTCACGATCACGTCGGTATCTCGATATGAAGACGGAGCTTGGACCTGGAGTTCCCAATCACAATGACAGATGAACTGACGGTTCACAGCGGCTACCACGTCAAAGAGGGGGAAATGTCAAAAAGGGAGGATTGCTGGTCCACGAGGTGAGCAGAATATTCAGAGCCCTCGCGGCCAAAGCTCCTGACTGAGTTCGAGAGGAAAAGCTACACGGCACGGTACTGAGGAAAGGAAATCGGAGGACCTGTCCAATCCGGAAGACGGCTTCGGAATGGAGGCTTTGAGTATCTTTCGTTCAGTGGAAGTCTGGCTTTGCCTCATCCTGTACACGGCGCTTCGGACACTATCCGCAGGGGTCCAACTCCCGATAAACCGGCGCAAGGTTCCGATTTCTTGCTTCCGCAGCGGGCGCGTAGTTCAGCGGGAGTTTCTCAGTGGGAGCCGGTGCCCCGATTTCACGTTTCGAGGTGGGATGTCCGGGACCACAAAGTACGTCTAGACTCTGCGAATAGAGAGCTACACTAGCTCGATAACCAAGACTGACATGTTGTTTCGTCGAAAGTCAGGATCTCTCGAGCGGTCGAGCCATACTTTCCGCCTTTCATGTCTCGCATCAACGATCTTCAGCCGGGCAATCCCCACCACGCAGTGGAGTTGGCCAACGCAGGGGCGCATACTCAAGTTTTCGCCAACTCCACTGATACAGCACCCATACTCCGTACCTTGGAGGCTTGGAATGATTAGACGTCCCCATCCTCCACTCCGCGGGAGTTTGTAATTTGTATCCAGGGGAAATCCCAACTCTTGAAAGGTAGCAAGATGTTCTTGTCATGTTCCATGATCGCCCATGTCGCCCACTTTCCGCAATGATCGGCTCGGGTTGCACAAGACTGGAACATCCAACAGAGTTGCCTGCCGTTGACCTCTTTCTCGCCAAAGCTTCTTTGAAAGAAGCTATACTCTTTAGTCTCGTAGCTTCCTTTGCATGGCACAGTTCGCGTCTAATAACGTGCTTTTAAACTTAAACTAGATAGCCTTCAGAAGGGCTGATGCTCTTTTTGTCTTCAGGGTTTCCCACTTGGTGGGCTCGGCAAATTTGTTTCGTCGTTTTGTTCTCTCAAACTAGCCGTCTCGTTTGTTTATGAACGTTTGGCACGGGCACGATCTCGTCATCAGAGACACGATTTGATTCTTTTCCCGCCGGCCCGGTGCTCTACATGGCGTAAGCATCTAGAATTTTTGATTGCAATTTGCGACAAACCTGCGTTGACAGCTGTCAGGGAGAGTTTTATCCACTGTTACCTGAGTCAGACGCTCGGAGAATTACTGCTCCAATTTAAGCCCAGTTTGCACATAACATGGGCTCAACACTGCGATGATTCGTAAAGTGGCCGACACCACCAGATAGGTAGGCTCATTATGTCAGGTACGACACGCTGCGATTTGGGTAATGCATCTTTTTGAGGGACTTCAATGGGGAGTCTGATTGTCTGATTTGAATGATGTCCGAGCACACCGGGGACCTCGATATTGGTCTGATTTACGGCGGGGACCAACACGCCAAGTCTTGAGATTGCGGCGGTAATCAGGATAGCTCACGCTTCAGCCCCATCCAATTCATCCGTTTCAACATGAGTAGCCACTGGCACTGCTAGTCCATCGAATAATGCTGCCTGCTGTCAACAATTGGCTCTCAGACGTTGCGAAATCACCTACTTTTCATTGACATATATGTAAGTCTAGCTGGTGACAGCGATAGCTTCACTTCGAAAATCGGGGATTGGAAGTCAACCACTAATGTTGAAGCACTGTAGGCTCACCATAGCTTCAAAGTTCCAGGAACTTGAATCTACCTCTTCCGTATCATCCGGCAAATCTTCCCCTCCCTCAAGTCGCCCCCATTGCAACTCGAAACCAACATCAGGGCCCACGTGGGTGATTTAGATCGAGGTCTGTGTCCCAATATCACCTCACTAGAAACTGCCAATCACCTGAGAACGTCACTTGTCATGATCTGAATCGCTACACCACGGCATAGTGCGGCGATGCGGCTTCCCTTCTCAAACCGGATGACCTGAGATGCGTCCGCGATAGCCGGCTGAGATCTTGCTTTCGGTCTTAAGACGGCGCAATTATAGGCCATCTAAAGCCAGTGATGGGGGCTTATGAATATAGTGAGGCAGAATATCTCTGCCACTATTGAAGACATTAGACCGAGAATTATAACCGTGTCGGGTGACTTGACTCGCTGCGATCGAGCAGACAAGATAGTAGCCGATGCGAACGCAACATCACGGTGAATGACGAGTGATGGGAGGATTGGGATGCATTGGATAATGCGACTCGGAGTTTCTTGGCTTGACAGGACACCATTATTGCCTCATTGACGAGTTTGGACGATCCGATGGCATCTTGGCTTCGTCACATACCTTAGTAAGGGATTTTGTCACAGTCGTCACACGAAGCGCTTCTTTAGTTCTTAATTCCTTCTGTTAATCGCCAGTCAGTGTTTAAGAAAAGAAAAAAGCTTACGGCGCAAAAACTCGCTGAAACACACGGGTCGCCCCCAATGATGTGCGCTACACTGACTCGAGCTCTCGTTGCAGAGCAAGGAACCGGGGTGTAAACGCCTCTCACTTCAGCAATGCCGGAATCTTGAGATCGTGGGTTGCAAACTCCTCTTTTTCCTTTTCCTCCCACTCTCCTTTCCAGGCTTCAGCGTTGTAGATGTGCGTGTCACTGATCACAGGCTTTGCTCCAGTATTCTTCTCTTTCCCCGGCGGCAAATCCGTGGCGCATTGGGGAGAAAGACGTGCCTCGTGGGATGTCTTGCCATGTTTCGCTGTTTCGGGGTTAGGCGCCTCGCAGACGCGCTCTGCATGTCTTACCTAGTTGCATGTGAGACCAGGTTTCTGGACCTGAATGCAATGCTTGCATAGGGTTGATCGTACTCCAGAAGGGGAACTAGTCTGCAACTTTGGTGCAAAAGACAAGGTGTGGAATGGTGACAACGTGGCTGTCCAAGCTCCTGCAGATTGTGAAGACTGGATTTTGGAATGATCCGGGACTTACAGCCTCCACCTGCCTGCCGGGGCCAACTGTTTCTCTGGCCCTTGAAGACTCATTCGGACGACGACCGGGGACATGGGAGGACTACTCGAAGAGGCGGTTTGCGAACGTCGCTCCTGGTGGGAACTAGTCCAACCAGGGGGAGGGTTGGGGTTGTATTCGCACGGACGCCTTCAAGCAGGACCAGACAGAGAGATCAACACGGCATCGTGGGCCGCCGGGGCTTGAGAGCCACACAGCGAACATGATGCTTGTCCAGCTTTCTTCGCCCGCCAAAAACAGTTGTGCAAGCCTTTGTTGTTGCAATCTTCCTGGCGTAGTGGGAAAAGGGGGCATGGTTTCGACTGTGGAGTAGAAGGGAACATGAGAGACAGGACCCTTTTCCAGGTCTACGCCTTGCCTTCCCCGGTCTTATCTGTGCATTCGGCATATGTCAAAGTGGGCACGACGAAGAAACGATGGCCCAGGCCCGTTTTCTCATTCCTGTGAGCAGAATATATTACCACAGCCGTGGAACAGGTCAGATCGTTCTAGAGTCGATCTCGTCTTTGGGACCCGGCGTTTATCTTTCTTTTTTCCCTTCTTCCCACAACCTCGAGAGACATGAATGGAGCTTGCTTCAATTCTGACATCTCATTCGTTTCCGTTTCAACGTCTTGACTTGCTTTTGGCTTGGTGGTGGTCTAGCCCCCTCTTTACGTCAACCTCAACCTAAGCTAATGTCTGGTCTGGGTCCGTGGTGATCACCATGGACGGAGCAACAATCCATGCGTTGTATGGAACCGCCGATAACTCGGGCGAGCCTACGCCCTTGGTGAACAAGACTCCAACTATCCTAGGCGTGGTTATTGCCTTCGCGGTAAGCTCCAAGTTGTTCGGAGATGTATCAGCAATGTGACTAACGACGTTGCTTAGATCTTCTCGTGGATGTGTGTCGCCTTCCGCATGTACGTGCGAGCCAAGTTGGTTCAGTCATTAGGATGGGATGATTGCTTCGTGATATTGTCGTTGGTGTGTAACCCTCTGTATACTCTCTCGATGACGAACAATGTCTCACGTGAGGATTTCAACACAGTTAACAACAACAACTGGATCTGTTGGAATTTGTGTCGGTAGGACCCCACCAAATTTCCCTTTCTCGCTTTTGTGAAACTAATCCTTTGGTCAATAGCTACCAAATATGGGATGGGAAGACATATCTATACCCTCTCTGCGGCAGAAGTCCAGAATTACCTCCGAGTATGAAGTCAACCCGCCGATAGTCGCTCATGATGTTGACTTGCTTATCAAGAACCCCTTGCCTTAGACCTTCTACGTTGCAAACGCATCTTACCAAATGTCAACCGCCTTTATCAAAATCTCTCTCCTCTTTCAATACTTGCGCATCTTCGACCGACCGTCCTTCCTTCGATCGCTCTGCATCTACCTGATCATCTTTGTCAGCTTATGGGCCACCGCCTACTCGTTTCTGGGATGGGTTCCCTGCGTGCCAGTCGCAGCATATTGGAACTGGACCATTCCAGCCACACGTTGGGCATACGGCTCGCTCAATTCTGATATATTCTCGGGAACATATGAGAGTCACTCTTCGGTCAACTTTGCCTTGGACGTCCTTGTTCTCGCCATCCCGGTTCCGCTCTACTTCAGACCTCAACAGTCGCTTAAGTCGAAGCTGAGACTGCTTGCGCTGCTGGTCATTGGCATTGCGTGCGTTTTGTCCCTCGTTTTCCCCAACAGCGAACCATCACTCTCAGGGATCCCCAGAGCGCTAACACAATTTGTAGGGTCAACGGCGTCTCAGTCGTCCGAGTATACTCTATCATTCAACACCGATCCGCCACTCGTCCGACATTAGACCCCATGTGGTACGGCCCCCTCAGCATCGTCCTATCCGCCGTCGAAGTCGATCTGGCCATGGTTGCCAGTAGCGTCCCGATTTTCTGGCCAGTACTGCGGCAACGATTCCCCGGTATCTTTGTTACCAAGGAGGTTGAAGTCACGAGGGAAGTTCGGAGGTTGGAGAGCGTGGAACTCGAGGACGACATGGAGATGGAGCCGGATCGGAGGTCGCGGGTCGGCAGCGAAGCAAGTCTTCGGCAAGAGAACATCAATCAGGGAGGAGGAGCGGGTGGACGGTACATGGATGAGTTCATTGTGAACCAGGTCGACCCGCTGAGGAAGGCCAAGAGTACGGTTACAGAGGTCAAGGCCGGCGATGAAGCTCAGGGGGGTTGGTGGCAGAAGGGCCGCTTTGGTTGATGAGCGTGGGAGGACTGCAGACTATGCTCATGGCAGATTGGTTACACACCAGCTTGTTCGGAATGAAAACCGTAATATCCACATGGACCTCTCTGAGTAAGAGCAGATCCACCGCGGGCGGTATGATGTGGCTTCTGACCAAGTATGCTCCAATCATACTCCTTAAGTGACTTTGCGAGCGCGGCTCTTAGCCGAGTGTAGCTCCATGAGTAGGTTTAAGAGACACCATGTTATACCATGTTTGGCATCGGCTACCACTCAGAGACTCCAGGAAGGCCGCGCAAGACCAAAGGATCTCCATAATACTCTTTGCATAGCCAGACTTTTCAGCATGACTGATCCTGAAAGTAGCAAAGCCATCGTTTATGTAAGATAAGGTACTACAAATGGGGGAGTCCGGTCGTGTTACACTGAATGTCCGGGTGGCCTACCTTAGGATCTTCCTACCTGCATTGGGGCCTACCTTTTCTAACGCGTTTGTGACATGGATGTGCGTGAGTAGGCAATCCTACTGTTCTAAAAAAGAGCGATCTGACGAAATATAAGGGTCCATCAAAAGAAGTCGTGCAATGAAACTGAGAATGAAATTTTTCGTCAGTCCAAGTCTAAGTAACTACTAGAATTAATATTTGACGGCGGAGCTTGAGCTCGATGTATCTAAAATCCGGATCTAAGGCACAATGCATTTACAGGGTATCGTATTCCTTCGGACTTAGACTGCGCGGTTGTACCCAGAGCGTCCATCGGTAGTGATGGTAGAGGCTTCGTCACGCCTGTTGTAACCTGAGCGTCCATCAATACCGATAGCAGAGCTTTCCTCACGCTTATTATATCCGGAGCGCCCGTCTTCAACACTGTTGTAGCCAGACCGGCTATCGGCCTCATCCCGCTTGTTGTATCCAGACCGTCCACCAGTGGAGGCACCAGCAAGCTCCTCGCGACGACCGACCCCAGAAGTTCTGTCTTCTACACCGTTGTACCCCGATCGTCCATCTGTAGTAGCGTCCGAGCTCTCTTCGCGGCGGCTGTAACCGGAGCGACCGTCTTCCACACTGTTGTATCCTGAGCGGCCATCTGTCTCCTCACGACGGTTGTAACCAGATCGACCATCTGTTGTAGCGTCAAGCGCCTCTTCGCGCTTGTTGTAGCCAGATCGTCCGTCAGTCATGGCTGAAGCGTCATTCTCTCGGCGATTGTACCCTGAGCGCCCATCAGTGCCGATAGCAGAGGCGTCTTCGCGCTTGTTGTACCCGGAACGTCCATCAGTAGTGGCGTCTGAGGCTTCTTCGCGACGGTTATACCCCGAGCGGCCATCAGTTGTGATAGCAGAGGCTTCCTCCCGCTTATTACATCCTGACCTTCCATCAGTAGTGGCATCAGTAGCCTGTTCGCGACGGTTGTACCCGGATCGGCCATCGGTTGTAGAGTCAAGAGCCTCTTCGCGCCTGTTGTATCCAGATCGTCCGTCTGTAGTAAGAGCGGCATCTTGTTCACGGCGGTTGTACCCAGAACGACCATCCGTGGTCATATCAGACGTCTCCTTGGCGTTGCGCCGATTATATCCAGATCTACCATCTGTCGTAATAGCCGCATTCTCTTCGCGCTTATTGTAGCCAGACCGGCCGTCTGTATTCATGACTTGATCTTCATCGCGGCGGTTATATCCGGAACGTCCGTCAGTGCCGACAGTCGCCTCTTCGTCACGGCGGTTGTAGCCAGAACGACCGTCGGTGGTAATAGCAGTGTCATCACGACGGTTGTATCCAGAGCGACCATCTGTAGAGACAGCAGTGTCTCCTTGTAGGGGACTAACATTTCGAACGCGAAGCGCCGCGATACTTGTTGCTCCATGAGCTTTGCGGGCGCAGCCCTCAGTGTTTTCGGTGATCTGATGGAACCATAGAGTTAGCATCGTGGAAGTGCTAAGCTTCAAGGATGATAGAAGCTAGTAGAACTCTGAAGATGGACTTACTGCTGATAAGATAGTCTCGCCCTTGAGAAAAGATAGGACCAAGATGCTGGTAAAGAGGGCTACCAAGATGACACGTCCAACTGGGCGCCGAGCAGGAGGGCTATTGGGCATAAGCCCATGAGTCGGCAAAATCGTTTCTTGTTTCATTTTGGAAAAAGGATATGGGGTAAGAACCTTGAGCAAAGCCAGAAAGCTCGTCGTTTTAGGTGTGAATGTTAATACCAAGAGACACTGAAAGTTTTCAAGCTGGATCCTGTTGTGATACAGGAGCTCAAGGGAGTGATAGACCGAGATACTTAGTGGTTATTGGATGCTAATGAAGACGGAACACAACGAAACAAAGAGAAGAGAGCCCTTTATATATTGTTACATGACTGAACTTCTCTCAGAGTTCTCGAGTGTGAGGTACATAAACGAAGAGACTGGAGGGTTGAGGCGTAGGAGGCACAGTCACGAAGCACGCAGTACCAAGATACTTACCGTCGACTCTCATAACCTGGGCAGCAATACGACACAGCCGCTGCAGCCCTATGCAAGTTGCCATGAGCCATCAAGTTGAGACATGCAGCAACAGGTCATGATCCGGTTTCTCATCAAGGACTCAAGGGTTGCCTAAACTAAAGTGGAAACAAGATTCAGACTCGGCCCCCACGACATTGACCGGTGAGATCGCGGAAGTGGTTGCGGTCGCCGCACCCTGCACAAGTCCGCAGTGACCGGTCTTCCACTAGGTGCCAAGCCCGACCCTCATAGGTCGCCCTATAGCCTGCTGCAGTGCTGCCAATGCTGAAGGATTTGGCCTCGCCATCATCGGCCGGAGATGCCCGGCGAAGAAGACGGAATGCGAGCCTGCCCGGTGTTCCAGTTCCTTGTCAGCGGAGAGGTCCTTAAACTTCTTTGGGGACTGGAAAGCCAGGGTTCGCGCCCGTTCCAGGGGTCAACCAACGGTGTTTCTAAGGTTTCTTGGGGAGAAGCGGCCCCCAACAGGAAACAAGGGGGGCGGCTGACGTCCGGCCGTAGACCCAGCCATAGGCATCGACTCTGAAGGGTGCTGCCAATTCAAGGTTATGATTGGTGTAGGAATGTGATGAGTCTGCTTATCCGGTGCGATCATATTTTCTCAATCGCTCCTTGCCTAGACCTCGGCCAAATCTGTGCCACACTGCTCCGCCTCCATTAGTAAGATCACGATGATGCAGTCATGTCTTGGGCTGATTGAGTGAGGCTATCTCGTTTAGGAGGCAGTAAGTTGTTGCCTGAGAAGATGGGGCATACAGAAACGACGCCATGCGTTAAGATTCTCGAGTGGGCTGCTCGACAGCTGCATGATAAGTTCCAACAGCTGGAAAATGGTGTCCACATGGCCTTTTTGCGATAGCCGAGATATGCAAAAGGCTAGACTCGCCTGTCTTGTCTCGGGTACGGAGGCACCCTCCGACATCATAATCAGGACTCATTAAGCCTTACCACGATTGTCTGTATCTGCGGAATTTTGACTTCTTCCGAACATGTATAAAGCGATGACAAGAGTTGGTTGTGCAAAAGTACCACAAAAGTACCATTTATCACTTACTCTAGAAAAGACGGGAAGCCCGGGCAATCTGATTGGTCGAAATAACTGCCTAATTGAAGAATAGAGCTCATAAAGTGTCGTGCGATGCTGACAGGCGGAGGATTCGGTTTACTGGGATCCTGACAAGCCTGTGGCAGTATCACACTGCATACTGTCACGCAAAGGGAGCGCAAATAACATGAAGTCTGTCATCCATTCATTTCTCGTCTATTTTTAAGCCGAGGGTAGGCTAGGTATCCATGGTTGGAGTCTTACCCCCTCGTAGGAGTCAGTCACTCGGGTGCTTCTCCCTTAGAAGTGGGAGCCGCCACCGCAGGGCCCATCGTGGGAGTGACCGGTCAACTCAGCAGCACGCTTGAGGTGCTGGGCCGTGTCTGCAGCCCATCTGCGCTTCTTCAACTCAACAGCAGGAAGAGTTTCCCAGCTCATGGAATATTTGGCGACACTGTGGGCGATGGCCTTGGTGTTGACAAGGTAAGCGTCGTTGTCCAGGTTGGTGATATCGTCGCCGATCAAGTGGTAGTTAACGTCGTAGGCAACACCAACCTCGCCACCGAACAGCGCGGCCTCGGCCTCCGTCTTGAGGCCCTCTGCGCCAGTGAATAGTCCACCAGACGGGATGCCGTTCTCGATGAACCCTGCGTAGTCAGAGCGGCCGTTGAATTCAGTGGGTACGTGGCCCAGGCCCTTGGACTCAAAGAACTCCTCAAAGTCCTTTTCAATCACATCAGAGCCGGCGGGGCCAGTGAAGTTGAAGGCACTGCCGTCACCATCGTAGATGGCGAGCTTAGGGTTGGGGCTGGCGATCATGTCGAAATTGAGGTATGCTCGGATCTTTGAAATTTCCTCCTCAGAGCTGTTGAGCGACTTCACATAGAAGTAGGAGCCGAGCTTGCCGTATTCTTCCGCGCCCCAAAATCCAAGTCGAACGGCGTTCTTGGTGGTGAATTGGGTAAGGGCCTTGGCGACAGTGAGCACACCAACGGTGCCGGAGCCATCATCGCTGGAAGAGAATATTAGTCAGTTCGTCTCTCCGAACGTATCTCATAGTGATGTTAACTTACTTAATACCAGGGCCAGCAAAAACAGAATCGGAGTGGCCTCCGATCATGAGAACATTATCATGGTCTCCGCCCCTCGTCTCCGCAATGACGTTGTAGTTGACACGGTTCTCGATGATGGAGATAACATTGAGATCAAGAGTCAGCGCTTGACCAGCTGCAAGAGAGGCAACAAGGGCCTGTCCCTCCTCACGAGTAATTCCCACAGTCGGGGCGTAACCATCCGAAGCCGCGCCGAGGGTTCCTGAAAGCGCGCCAACGTCGTTGTTGTAGATGATGGCACCGACAGCGCCTGCAGACTTGGCAAGAGTGGCCTTGACCGCAAAGTTGCAAGTGCCTCTCGATACGAGCGCAACAGCGCCAGAGACTTCGGCAGGGTAGTCCGACGCCTCGCATCCAAGGTTGGCAACGTTGACCAAGGTAGCGCCGGTTAGGGTTCCGCCAGGTGTGTACGTCAGAGGACGGGCGTCAATGGCATCGCCTGCGACTGAGAGGGTCGCCTTGGCACCGGCGAAAGCCTCGGTGAAAGGCTGCTTGTAGACGTCGTAGTAGTCGAGCTTCTCAAGCTCCTCGACAAGCCAGTCTACGGTCGCGTTGTGGCCGCCACCGCCGAAGGCACGGTTTCCCTCGTGGGCATCCGCAATATCCTGGAGCTTCTGGGACCCGGCGAGGAGGTCCTCAATGTTGATGAGCTCCTGGAGCTTCTCGGACTCGACGTACGGCTTGCACTTAACGGCGCTGACTAGCGCCGGCAGGGCCAATGCGAGAGCGGCCGTCTTCATCTTGTGAACTGTTGCTACACGACCGGCGGGGTCTTGCACAAGATTTGAAGTTGCCTTGTAGTGGCTAGAAACAGGAACCTGCGAGTGGGCGAGCGAGGAGATGTTCCCAATAAGCTGGGCGGAAAGCAGCGGCCTGTTGGCCTTTTAGACTTCCCTCAACCAACGAGCTGGAAGCGACGCATGCATCTCTTCGCTCGCGTGATCATCGCCAAGACGATAGATAAGGAAGCTGGCGATGTCGCCAGTAGCTCACCGGCCGGAGCCACTGTCAATTAACCTCGACGCGTACTAGGCTCCCCAGAAACGCGGGGACGTGAGACTTAATGAGGAAGCCCAGAGCCAATATTTTCTTCTGCTCCATTACGACTCTATCGCGACCTGCCTGATCCAGGAACGGCCGTACGCACCAGTGCGATTGCGCAGCTCGGTTACGCCGTGGAACTTCTTGGCATTGCAACCCAATGAGGTTGAGCCGCCGATACGCCAATGACAATGACACAAAGTTCCAGCCACGATTTTCCATGATTCATTCCTCGTCGTGAGAGCCCATACCATACGTTGGCACACGTGAACTCGTGAAGGAACCTTTGGGACCTGACCATATTGATATTGGAGAGGTCTTATGTTCACAATAAAGCCTTGGTTTTGTGTTATTACTACTTCTTTCGCGAACTTTATGAAGAAATCCTGACTTGGCTAAATGCGGGTTGTCAATGCACAGACACTGAATAATTGCTTGGCAAATGGTACGGTATTGACTGTCGTCCTCGGGGTGCGGAGATTCAAGTTCGGACCATCTGCCATCTGATATTGGAGTGTGACGCACCAAGTCAGCATCACGTGAAATAAATGAACAAACATCAACTATCCGGCTTACATCATTCGTCACTCATCCAAATCTCGATAGCCTGTACCGTCGAAACCACCCGTGTGTTTTCTACCTGAATGCTACAACGTCTGAGTGCGGGTTGATCACCGCGATGAAGAACATCATATCGGGAAGCATATTAGTTCTCCATCAGGTGCAAATTCATCTGGGGTACCAATTGAGTTTGGGATCACAGGTAAGCTACTGTAAGGCAAAACTTGAATCGACGCACATGCACCTTCAGGCTTGCGACAATAAGGTTGAGTTTCTCAAGGTAGCATTATTCAGATTGAGTTGGAGATCGATGCGCTAAGCCTGCCATCCTCCGAATTTGGCGACTGCTTTGTCATGACTTAAGGACTGCGCGGCAATGTTGACTAAAGGCCAACGCGAAATAAGACTGCGGAAATATCAATTGGGGAACAGGAACAAAGACCCCGTTGGAATAATTCCAAAAATTTGCGAAGCCGACGATGAGCTTGCAGACCTCAATCTGCAAGAAGCTATGACCTCAGGAACCCAACGAGCCGCTAAGCCAGGCGCGAACTGCGGCTCGTGAAGGATCCGGGAAAGTAGTTCATGTAAGAGACCATAGAAATCAGGGGTTCAAGCCACAAAATGGACTAACGTTGAAGATCGACATTTGAACAAGGGCCTCGGAAGAGAGCCGTTGCAACGGACTCACGACTAACATTAGCTATCCATCAATGTTAGCACGAACGGAAAGAGCGGAAAGTCCTCGCTATCCAATCGCTTTTTGTATATTAAACATCCTGAACCCTCGAAAGATTCGACTCGAAGCTCATATGATAAACTGCAGTTCTTCATCCAGTTGTATACCGATGAAGTCTTTACATACACCTGTGTGAAACGTTCACTCCAATCGGTCCAAATTATTCAGCTCATTTCCCATAGGGTGACAGCAGAAGAGTTGCAAAAGATGCAATTTTCTTTGACGATACTTGGCTCAATGCCTATTGCATATGCACTTCCAACTTTTCCTGGCGCCGGCAGTGGGTGCCCGTTCCAGTCAATTCTACCACCATCAACTTCAGCGCCAGGCTTAGATGCAGCATGCCAGCTAAAGCCTAATCATTTCACGTGGACACCGCCAGGTCCTGGAGACTGTGAGTCAAGCTTAATCCATCTGCGTTAAGTTTTCCTTGCTGACAAGCTGCCTAGTACGCGCGCCCTGCCCGACGCTAAATACTCTTGCCAACCATGGCTTTCTACCTCACGACGGCCGCAATATCACTCTCGATGTCGTCATAAAAGGTCTTAAAGATGCGATGAACATTGGAGAAGACTTAGCAACGGCTGCTTTCACGCCAGCACTCAAGTTGAACTCAATACCAAACGCAAATGTGAGGCGACATACTTATATCTCTGATATCACATATTCTATGGAATTTGTACTGATCAATCTCACGCACTGCCTAGTTCATCGATCTAGATATGCTGAACCGGCACAACGTCATTGAACACGATGGCAGCCTATCACGCCGAGACATGTACTTTGACCCGTCGAATCGATTCGACAAGGCGACTTTCGACGGTTTCGTTGCCTACTTTGGTGATGCAACAACGATAAGCACAGCCGCCATGGCCAACGCCCGTGCAAGACACGCTCTAGCCATGAATCGTATCAACCCAACATTCACTCTTCCCGAATCATCCGCACCTTTGTTCTTGGGCGAAGCATCCTTGATGTTGGCTGTATGGGGCTCTCCGAGCAAGCCGGTGGCCAACAGAGCGTTTCTTGAATACTTTTTCAGTAGGAATTATCCTTTCTCTCAATAGCGGAAGTCTTTGTCCATTGTCTAGGTGCTAAGAACGAATAGGAAACGAACGTTTACCAGTACTACTCGGTTGGGTTCCGAGCGATACCTCCATCACCTCAGCCATCATTTTGCAAATCGCCAACGACATTGCCAATCAGACACCTTCTGATGTTCCTTTGACTTACACAGCACAGCACTCCTGAGCACAAGCGGAGAGAAGACGCGAATGACCCAAAGGTTCGGAAATATATGTGTAATATGCTCTGTTGGGCTGCATGCGCGGGTGAATTCAATCCGCGCGTTGAAAAGCAGATGAGAACGAGATCGAGGTTGCCAAGGCGCTGGAGCCTCTGAAAGCGGAATGCATGGATACATCAGAACAATAAAAGCACCGCACGAGTATCTGAAAGCCACGAAACATGCCTATGCCTGCAATGATCCTTATCCCGTAAGTCTGAGTCCACTTCACACTACATGTTTGTGTGTCCCGCAAGCACCTAGATCCATTCCTTCCAACATCATCCTATAACAGTTACATGAATCTCCATTTCCACCTCAAGTGTCTCATCTTGAGCTACTACGTTAGACGTCCGCCACCAGCGTAGAAAGTTCGCGAATCTTGAGCTACTTCCAAGGATGATCTCTGTCATAGATATAGGTTTGGCATTGTGTTGGAGGATATTATGATGATTGCAAGCCATGGAAATAGGAAATGCAGCGAAACTTTCAGATTCCAGACAAAAAAGGCAGAGAGTTGGGGAATTCAACGCGGCTACACGCTGCAATGTTACATGTCAATGAGGATGACAAGCAAAAGATCGACTCCACGCAGTGACTAGAGTATTATAACTCTTGGAGTATCGCGAATGTCTCTTTGTTGTTCAAAAATGCTATGAGATCCTTGACAGGCGAGGGAGACAGTTTTAGCAGTAAGCGGCGGAGCGCACAAGGACACTGTCGAATGGCTGACTTAGAATGAAGTTTTAAGCAGAATCAAACTCGCGGTTGCTTAGTGATAGGTAACGGTATGCAAATGTTCCCTACTCTTCGCATTCCGACTTCAAAATGATACGAGAAAATGAGCAGCATTTTCTCTAGGGAAATCACTTCCTGAAATAAGGTAGTTAAAAGACTTTGGCTCTCTGCTGACTCTTTTTACCTCTTCGAAAATGTCGGTTAAATCGGCTCTGAAACAGCGAGACTAGTCATGGTTCCGGCATGAGATGGACAAGGGTGGAACGCAGCGTTGTGGGATGCCAAGGTCGTTGGATCATCGTATACACCCGATGCAGAAACTTGTCCGAGCCGGTCCTGATGCCGGGGCCCCATTCGAAGACCCGAAGTACCGGAGCAGAATCGTACGGCAATAAACTTGGCATAATATTAAGAATAGAGTTTTGGGAACTCGAAGTTGAGAATGGTCATTTGAGAAGGGAAAGACTCCAAAGTGGAGGGGCCGTTCATGATTCAGCCGATACTGTTATGAGTTAGTCGACGCTGTCGCTTACCTGCTGTCATTAGCGCTGACCAGCAATGCAACGCTGTTACCAGCATGTCTGGGGTTCTAGTTCGATCCACGCCGGTTCATTTGAAGTGCAGCATGTCACGACCTCGGAAAAGGTCCACAACAGCCAACCAACGATTTGTCCACCATGCGGACATGGTCAGGGTTAAAGACACTTCTTCATATTGGAGTCAACACATCCACCACTGAATCAATACCGTCTGGGCATTAGGCCTGTCGACTTTTTCGCCTCCCGGCCGATGTGCCTCTTCAAAACTTCTCGGAAGCGTGCCGTTGTCATCCCAGTGCGCCGGCGCTATTTTGACATGGATAACAGAAGGTCGCCCGTCGGCTGGAATTGAAGATAAAGATAAATAAGAGTTGCCACGGTATCCATCGCCATTGCCTGTTCTCTCCGATTGCCTAGTGCTCTCAATTTCACCAAAGTTCGCACCCCAGCTCTCTACGTCAGGAAAGCCGCCGACCGCATCGCAATGCGTTTCCTCAACCTCTTCGCGGCGCTGAGTCTCTACGGAGCGACTGCTCTCGCCTTTGAAGGCGACGAATTGTCGGAGGTCCAGGCTCAGGCTATCGAAGCTCTTCAGGCGGCCGAGGGAAACAATACTTTTGGCAAGAGAGACTCATGCACCCTCTTCAACGCGCGTGTTCGCCGGGACTGGTACGTAATTGTCCAACCGCAACCAAGGGCCATTCACTGATAACATCAACAGGAATTCGCTCTCCGGATCTGAAAAGAAGGCTTACACCAGCGCCGTCAATTGCCTACTGACGAAGCCTTCCAAGCTTACGGATTTCGCCCCCGGCGCTCGCAGCCGATATGACGACTTTGTTGCTGTTCATATCAACCAGACTTTGAGCATCCACGGGACCGGTAATTTCCTCACATGGCATCGTTACTTTACGTGGGCCTACGAGAATGCTTTGAGGCAGGAATGTGGTTACAATGGTTATCAACCGGTGAGTAGATGACGTTGGATGGCACTCGGAATTGCAGCGGCTAACGATGTGTGTGCTAGTACTGGAACTGGCTTTCCTACCGAGAGGATCCTTCCAAGTCGCCAATGTTTGATGGCAGCGAGACTAGCATGAGTGGCAACGGTGTCTTCAAATATCACAACGGCAGCACGTCGGGTGGTGGTGTTTACATCCCCTCTGGTGAGGGAGGTGGTTGTGTCACAAGCGGCCCTTTCGCCAAGTAAGCCTCCTTCTGGACCAAAAGAAAGAAACACAAGATTGACTATTCTCTCCAGCATGACCGTTCATCTCGGCCCTGTCAGCCCTGGCATCGATGGTCTGGCAGTCAATCCCGGCGGCCCTCTGGCCTATAATCCTCGTTGTCTCTCCAGAGACATCAGCGCTTGGACATCACAGCATTGGATGACTCCTGAGAATGTGTTGAACCTCACCGTGGGCGCTGCGGCAGAGAACATTTTGACGTTTCAGAACGAACTCCAGGGCCGCTTTGGAGATGGATTTCTGGGTAAGCTCTCGTCAACCCACTTCAAGCAAGCAGAGTTCCTGACAATAAGCAGGGACACACACTTCCGGACACTTCATTGTCAACGGTGAAGCTTCTGACCTGTTCTCGTCGACTAATGACCCGACTTTCTTTCTTCACCACGCGATGGTCGACCGAGTTTACTGGCTGTGGCAGGCGCTTCACCTCGGAGAAGCCTTCAATATTGCCGGAACAATCACGATCCTAAATACGCCTCCCAGCCGTGACGCTCGCCTTGACGATCTCGTAATCCAAGAACCGAACGCACCCAACAGGCCTATTAGTGACTTGCTTAATACACTTGGAGGCAGTCCATTCTGCTACATTTATCTGTAAGCTAGGCGAGGTAGCTGAATGGCAGCCACGAGAAAGGGGGTTAATAAAGAGTTTGAGTGTACCCAAGGTACTTAGTCGGTAATAGCTGGCAAGATTGAACTTGGATCTTTCACCATGGCTTTTGAAACATACATTCAATACTCTCCAGACTTACAGTGTGATCACGAAATGAGAAGACCATCCTAGGTAAACTCTGCACACTGGTGATGCCCGAGTGAGTAGCATTGTGTAGTTAACACATCGCACTTATAGGTCATACGGAATTGTTCATGAAATACGCGTCATTGCTCAACATTTTACCATCATTTGATTTTCGACCACTCACATCATTGTAGTCAAAATGAAATCAGTGAAAGTGAAGCAGCTTTTGGCTTCTTAGAACCGCAAAGACTGAGTGCTCTTATGCACATGCAGCCGTTTTGGTACCCCCGACCGCTCCGGACTTGGCCATTGGGAACCCGGACACTTGCTCCGACACACGTTGTGCCGCAGCTCTCCTTCTTTTACTAAGCACACTCTGCCGGGAAATTGTATTACGCTGAGAATTTTAAAATGGCTAATGAGAATGTCTCAGAATAAGGTATCTAAAGGGCCTCAGCCACTAGCATTGAGAATGCGCCCCTCGCCGAGCGTTTACGTCTTGTACGAAACTGTTTGGCCGTCTGCTTTCGCATTTCGATCGGTAGCCTTTTAGTCTCTCGATTGGCTGCGAACTTTAGGCTTTATGGAATCAGACACTAGTTACCTCTTAATCCTCTGCGTTTCCGAAAAGGCGACACACGATTGAGGGCACACGGAGCCCGCGTTATTCTTTGTCCATCTTGCAGACGCCAAGTAGAACGAGCAAACATTTGACCAGAGATCTTGAACGTGATTCGATGACAACCCGGAGATATCGCGGAGCAGGATTCGAACCCTAGCAAGCTGTCTGCGTCTGGATATCTTGCCAAGTCCGAGCGGGGAAACAACACGGTCGACAACATGCCATGTCTTGTTCCTTCCCTGTCATACTTTCCCCTCTCTTCAACTTCTTCGTCTAAAGTTCCCAGCACCTGAAAATTGCTTCGTCGAGTCGTTTTCCAAGACTTGCCTCAGACGTACGTTGACTCATAAAATACAATGGCTCATCAACCGGTTGTTTCAAGCACTCCTCCGAGATCCCCTGTACCAGCGGCAGAGGCAGCATCTCCAACAACTACACCAGCCACCGCCGCACAGTCACCTCCGGCTGTGGCCTTGACGGCCACTTCGCCGAGCTCTGGCCAATCGCCTGGGGCTGCACCAGTAGAGGGACCACCAGACACGGCTTCTCAGTCGCCAAATGCAGTTGTTGAGGCCCAAGACGAGACCGATGATGGTAGTGACGGCTACCAATCCGCGTCCGAAAGAGAGTCCAACGCATCAACTACGCTGGCATCCACAATTCGTGATTTCAACTTTGAAAACAAAAGGAGATACCACAAGTTCAAAGAAGGCAGATATGCATTTCCTAACGACGATGCTGAGCAAGAAAGGGAGGATATGAAGCACTCCATGGTTGTCACACTCTGCGGCGGGGCACTGCACAATGCGCCCCTCGAGAATCCTCAGAAAATCCTAGATGTCGGAACCGGGACTGGCATTTGGGCAATTGACAGTGAGTTGATCCATTTGACATACCTGAAGCTGAATCACAAAGGAAAGGACTAATGTTCACAGTGGGTGACGAATATCCGGAAGCAGAGGTTACGGGAATTGATCTCAGCCCTATTCAACCTCCATATGTCCCAGCTAATGTTGCTTTCATCGTCGACGATGCTGAAGCCGAATGGTTGTACCCAGAAAACTCTCTTGATTACGTTCATGTTCGAAACATGGGAGCTGCAATCAAAGACTGGGAGAAACTCCTTGCCCAAGCGTTTCGGTATGGTTACATCATTGATCTTTTTCTCCAACTCTTACTTCGATATCATCTGACGTTTCCTAGCGCCTTGAAACCAGGAGGCTGGATCGAACTCCAGGAGATGAAGTGGAACTTCAATTGCGACGATGACACAATGTCCCCTGACTATGCCCTCACTAAGATGATGAAGCTTGTTTGGGAAGGCCTCGGGAAGTTTGGCATCGAAGCAGATGTTGCCGACGTCAACCCCAAGCGTATCGACGACGCGGGCTTTATCAATCTAGTACAAGATGTTAAAAAGGTTCCCGTGGGCGAGTGGCCAAAGAGAGAAGATCTGAAAATGATCGGAGCATACTGTAAAGCTGTTCTCTACGACGGCATACATGGAGTCACGATGGGGCCACTCACACGAGGCCTGGGATGGTCTGCTCCTGAGGTCGAGATTTTCCTGATTGATGTACGAAAGGATCTACTCAATACTGGCATCCATTCGTATGTGTTCTACCACTCCGTTGCAGGACAGAAACCGAGGGAGAGTGCCGCTTGAAGTAGGCATGAAGGGTACGAATTTACTTGGGACGTAGATGACACCATAATGAACAATTAACGTTCAAGTACAGTGGTCGTAAAAGTACTTGTGAGGAAGGCTCATAATTATAACCTTATTCCCTAAAATTTTAGTTTATATATAATATATTTATAAGATCTTATCTCAGTAATCGCGTTGCTCGAAGGCTTGACCTTGGATGACATCAGTCTACTTGCTTGAGTTCCAAGCTAAGCACCTTTTGGTAAGTGCCGAGAGCAAGAGGTCTCTTAGAATTTCAGTCACTATCTTCAATGTCGCCTCCCTTCGGTACCGGGTAGTACAGCGTTGTTTGACCCAGTGCGAAGATGATGGCTGTGATTAGGGCGAATGATGTGAATATCACAGCAACCTAGTGAGTGTTAGTGTCGTCAAGGACTATGAGGGATCTGATCCTTCTGACCTTGCCGTTGTCATCAAAACCCTTTCCTCTGCCGATGTCTTCGGCAACAGCGCTCCAAACCAAGAAGATCATCCCTGAGATCATGCAGAGAACCGCGCCTGCCAGGAACAGAACTGACAACTGCCAGGCGTAGACTTGCATTTTGCGAGGGCGGTACTTCCACTCAGTGCCAATCAAAACCCGATCTTGGGTGCGCAGAGACTGTCTGATGAGAACCAAGCCATCCCTATGTCCGGCCATTCTATGGAGCCGAATTGTCTGGTCTGCCGCTGTCAACACACTGGCAAGGGCAAAAGCGATACCGCAGAACCAGCAGGTCCGTACAGGCCAGGGAGTGGTCGTTTCAGGGGGCAGAAGATTCGGCCATGAACCGGTCGATGTGAGGACATTTGCGAGCAGAGCGGACTGTCTCTCTATTAGCCCGGCGTATGTGGCCACAAATCACAACTGCCGTAAAACATGTAGTACTGCGCATTGGACTATAGACAAAAGCTCAACTCACTACCACGCCTACGAAGTTAAGCTCTTGCAGCTTGTTGTCCTTCCATTTCTCAGTGAGTCTGTTTCTTTCGTCCTGGTCGTCATGATTCAGGAGCAAGAGTAGTGGGTCGTATGTCAAGGTTGGTGGCGAGAAGAGACCACCCCGGAAGATGTGGACGATGAAAGACACCGCCCTGCTACTCTGATTTTTAACACTGCGTGAAGTTGAACGCTGTCCCTTATTGTTAGCTCACGAACATCTAGCTGTCAAAGCTTCCATTCAGTCGACTTTGGAAACATACTATTCTAGCTGCTGCCTCCGACTGGCCATTGTTGCCCAGCAGAGGGGTTCTTGTCTGCGGAAGATCGTCGGAATAAGGCATCGTAGCATCCGAATTAGAGTTTGATGCTATACCATGAGATGGCAGACTACCAATTACTTGAGTTCTTCAGGGAAAACCAAAGACAGCGTCCAAAGCTACCGAAGTAATTAGTCAAGTTTGTCATTTCAACCCCGCAATCGACATCGAGGTCATGCGACACGCCTTGAGGCAGATCATACGTCATTGTGAACAATTCGCTAATCAGATATGGGTTGGATCGGAGTTCGCGCTGCTTACATAACACACTTTAAGCTTTCCACTGCTTGTGACAACCTGTTCATCCCATCCTCCTTTCATCGTAATCTCTCCTTTTTGGCGATTCTGCAGATGAAGCGAGGATGTTAGGTGAGTAGATCTATTAGATCTTATGAGCTTAGTCTTGAGTGTGAGGCCATGTTGAAATTGAGCTGATGTGGAGAGTACATCTATCGGTGTAAGTCCTATTGCTGTGAGCAGTGTGCGCCTACCCAAGGCACTTTAAGTACTAGAAGCAAGTAGATTCATTTGTCAGAGACCAATGCCCCTTTTTCTGTTCGATCTTCTCCATCATTTAAGAAAGGAAGAGGAACATAGTGATCCTAGATAACTCTACTTCTTGAGGTGACTTGTTCTTAAACACAATGATGCCGGAAGAAGTGACGCCCACACATCTCCCCCTCACACTTGCCGATGCAACACCTTCGACACCAATCGTCTTTCTTCGCTGTGGTTCGGTTTCCACACCAGAAACACCAAGTCGGCTTAGATCCTCGCTTCGTCAATAAATTTGAGAGCTCCTCGCGAGCCGATCTGCTACTCCTACCAATGATTTCTTCGAGCACCTCGCTTCTCGTCATATCTTTCTCAAGTCTGGGGAGCCACTTAACCCAAGGTATCCACGAACCAGCCGTTTTCGCGCCCATGACCAGCATCTCTCCAGCAATATCCTTCCTGACAAAGATTAGGCTCTCTAGCCCTCCAAGAATTTCAGGAGGAGTCACCTCATGTCCTCGTTCTGCTGTCTGATCGAGGACAAAGTCGCGAATAGCCTGTCCGATAATTCTACTCAACATCACAAAGTTCCCCTGAGCTGCAATCTCGATTGTGGTCATGGCCTGAATGAGATCTGCAGTCGGCAGTGGCTTCTGGAAGTTCTTTTGCCACTTACGAACAGCTCGACTGCGTGAACTTCCCAAGAGCCCAAATCTTTTGACAAATTGCCCATCAAAGCCGATGGCGATTCCCTGAGAGCCAGTAGCCTTGCCAAAAAAGACGAGATCGGGGGAGATAACATCGAAGTACTCCTCCCGTTGGAAGCAAAATGGTGCACCACAACGTATGGCAGTCAGAGTTTCATCTACTGCTAACAGTAATTGGTACTCTGCGCACATGACGCCCAGCCGGCTGAGAAGACTGGGATTCAAGACTCTCCCATTGAATTGGGTTTCCACAAGCTCAACAACAATACCGATGCATCCCGCTTCTCTGGCGACGAATAGTTGATCACGAAGTTCGTCATCAGAGACACCATCTATGTGAAGCAGGGCAGGGTTGCTTCCATAGGGCTTCGGAGAGTCTGAATATTTCAGTGAAGATTTGTGCTTAGCAAATACGTTAACGTTGAAACATTTGGTAGGACTCAGTGAGCTCTTACTCCTGGTGCTCTAGTAGACGCGGTTGTTGCTGCGGCGTACGTATCAGATAGAAGCGCCCAGCAAGGCTGCTTTGCTTGTATGTCCTCCCAGCCCAACCTCTTCAGAGTATCGTACTCATCTGTGAAGGGGCTCTCAGATGATTCTGAAGATTCAGACATCGAAAGTTCTTCAAGCGTCAGAATTATTCTAACCACATTTTCGGGATCCATGGTGCTGCTGGTCAAGGTCCCGTAGTGGATTGGCATGAAACCACCAAAGTAGTTCCTGCAATGATTTACGTCAGAGCAACTCGGATTTCTCGACGAGACACGACTTACGAAAACTTTTCTTCGTACAAGTGCAGAAGCTGCTCATAACGGCGTTCGAGCGCTAAGCGATTGTTGATGAACTCTCGCCAGAGAGGATTTTCCATGGTCAGGCTCCGCATTTGATCAAAAGACAAAATACTTCCCTCACCATTGTTGAAATTGTGATCTAACTTTCGGATTGGGAGTCCCGCGGGGAAAGCCATTGTGTAAATCTGCTCTGACAGCGTCAAATCTGTCGGCTAGCGCGGCAGCCAGCCAGATTCTTTGTTTGAGCTCGGGATTGGGGTTTGGATGAATCTAAAGGCTAAGAGAGTTGGTTGACGTACTTGGAAGCGGGCCGTACCAGCTTGGGTATGTGCGTATGCTTTTCGGGACTTACCAGAATGATCCAGTCTTGAGCACTGTCGTATATGTTTCCGCGAGGTTTATATAGTATTGATCGAGATAGGATGGTATACAATGACCTGCTTGCTTTGATATGAAATGGTCTTAAGTGGGATGCCTGACTGACGTGAGCCTGGCTTCAGGAGCACGATTATCAAGCGGCTCGAACGGTGGCCTCAAACCTGGACTCAGAGCAGAGACTAGCTTTTTGTCATGAGTATTCACATACCCCAGGGAGCTGCCAGTTCCATTTTGGGTCAAGTCCTTTGCCGAAGACCGAGGCGCTCTTGAGGGTGGTTGAGAACTTAGGGTCAGGGGCTGCCTCTTTAAGTAACCAATGGTATGTCGGGGAAGAGCTACGGCAGAGGCGGCGTAGACTCCACGATGGATGCCCTCAGCATAGCTTCTTGGTCAAATGACTACAAATAGCCATTGCTGAAAAAATAGAGCACGCTCGGTTGGTGGTTGAAGACCGCAATTTCGGTGCCTGAAGCATGGGCCACCAATGTGATGCAGTCGACATCCATGATAGCACACAGTCGTGTGATCTGGGCAACTAGCTCAAGGTTGAGCAGTGCAAACGACAATGAACGTCAATGGCAGATAAACGACTACCGCATCTCTCGCCCTTTCGTTCTTACAGCCGCACGGAGGAATCGGGCCTGGCCATCTTTCGCCACTGCACTGCTTCGACTGTCTACGATACAGGTATGATTGAGGATAATCCAGGTGACGCAGCCACGTGTGGTTTGGTAAGAACTGTCGCATATACAGAATGCAGTGCATCTCGCTCGTGAGATGGCTTAGAAGTCATGTGCCACAAGGCCCCAGCTTTGCGGACTTGACCGACCGAATCGGAGTCGGATCGGTGACCGGCCAATGGGGCCATCATAAGGAAACGACGAAACTCAATCGAGCCGCCAAAAAGCAAGCAATGAAAGGATTATGCAGTGAAAATCAAGTGGAAGTTCTTTGATTCGGCATAACCACTGTCAGTAAGCCTTACTGACAACAGCATCGGGGCGAGGGATTCGGCTGACCCCTGTGCTTCAAGACACCATCCCGTCGACCCTGGTATGTCAACCCTATCTGATCGGCATCCTGCAGGTTCGCCATCCAATCTGCGCCACAGAATCTGACATGAATTTCCCCGATCGCCGTCCGACTCCACCAATTCCTTCTGGAACAGGACCCTGAATTGTGGTTTGACCCATGAGTGGCCACGTACATGTTGCTGCGTAACATGGAGCTGCTTGAAACTGTCGAGATCGACAAGACCAGTCGTCTCTCAGCGAGTGATTATGACTTAATCCACTTCAATACTAATATTCGCCACAGAAATGAGCCTTGCCAAATTCATTGACGAACGATTGGTTTGGGACCGAATTACGCCACAAATTGGGCATAATTGAGGCATTTGGACAATGGCTGGTGATGTGGCTTCAAGTTCGCTCTCTAGGTGACAGCTTTAATCTTCAGCACTTTCCGAGGCACACGTTCACCTGCTTTTGGAAACTGGGAAAAGGCAAGCTCCTATACATTGTTACCTCTGTCAAGTCAAAGGAGAGTTTCCACCTTGGCCCTGAAAGTTATCGTAAGTGGGCTGCTCGTGGCTAGAACCTCAATCCGATAAAGGTAAACCTTTCCTGGTCAGTTTTTCTCGATCACAACACCATGTGTCTTTATCATTGAGCCACCGCAGCAGCGAGTATCAAATAGCTTAAACTTCGGTATCCAGATGCGTTACCTATTTTTAATCAAATTGCCCTACTCAACTTTATCCGGCAGTTCAGAGTATCATGACCTTATGAGGCACAAACCTAATCTATCTAAGGCATCTTTTCAGCACAAACATATGTGGGCAAATATTCAGCCAGCTCCCTGCAAGTCTGTGGCATCGTTGTAATTTCACATTTGATTCCAGTGGCCTGGATCGCAGCTTAAGTATACTCACGTTAAGGCTTCAAGCTTGGGTTTTCTGAAACGGAATGCTGTGGAACGCGTTTTCTTCCGGTAAGACTAAAGTAATCTCAATAACATTGAATAGCGACACCTAACGCCCTTTGCGCCTGTTTTTGATCTGACATCGGCCACTTATAGCAGTTACGAGGTGCTACGGCACGGATCATCGTTCGCTGGAAGCCTTCGTTCTTGTCTTAGGGTTTGAAGCTGCGCTCGCTGCTCGTTTCGTGGCCATCATCGTCCTGACCGGGGTTGCACTCATAGTATCGAAGGTTGCGCAATAAAAGGTAGAATCCACAGGCAATCAGAGATCCAACGATCGGACCAAGCCAGTATATCCAGTGATAGCTGGGGAAAATGCCATCAACAGCAGCGGGTCCAAAAGATCGAGCTGGGTTGAGGGAACCGCCAGTGAAGTAGACGCCTGAGGAACGTAATGTTAGTATCTACTGTGCTCAGCCTGAAGACAGAATGGGTCGTGCTTACCTGTGAGTTCGGCAAGGAAGAATGATAGACCAATGCCCACAGGGGCAAGGAAGGTAGAGCGATGCTTCTCAACGGCCAACATCAAGATGACAAACACCAGCTGAGCGGTCAAGATGACCTCGATGAAGAAGCCCTGAGCTGTGTTTGTGCCACCACCCAGTCCTGTGGTCACGGAGAGGGGACCAGGAAACATGGCAGAAGCCACCCCGGCTGCACATAATCCGGCTATGATTTGAGTGGGCATGATTAGAAGAGCTCTCAGTAGCGGTAGGCCACCACAAACAGTGAGGGCGAGAGTCACCTATGAAGATCTTGCGTGAGTTACACAAACATGGTAAGCTGGGACATCTCAACACTTACCACAGGGTTGAACATCCCACCCGTAACTCTGTAAAATGCCCACACATTTGCAGTTAGGGAGACTCCGAATGAAAGCGCGATGAAGATAATGGATGGGAGATTGGGGTCCGATCCTGGTGCTCCAAGAGGCGTGTTGGCAACTTGAGTACCGGCGAATGAGAAGAAGAGGAAGAGGAATGTTCCGACAAACTCCCCGAGCACAGCTACAATGTTATTCCTCGTGGTATTGGCAATGTTGAGCATTGGTAATGTGCCAGCAACATTCGAGCTATCGCCCGAAAGCTGACGACCGACTTTGGTGTTCACCATTGTGAGATGACGATGTGTAATCCAGGGGAAATGGTTTTTGATTGCGAAATCTGTGATTGCAAGCTTCCGAGCTCAAGGTGAAGAATCCGTTTTTTAAAGACACGTCTGTCCTTATAACGAGAAATGAATGTCGATCTCTCTTGTGGCATCCTTTATAACTTTTCGATTCACGGAGGCTTCCCTCCTTACAAGAGGGTGTGCAACTGATACATGGCTCTCGAGAGCGTGCCCCGTTTGCTGCGCAGACACTCAAATCCGCATTCGTCGCAACCTCCATGATACAGAAAAGCCCAACCCAAAGCGGTTATGTCTTCAAGAACTGGTTGTCGCCGGTGACGCCACACGACCCATGGCGCCGGGTGAGTATGCCAAGCTACGAGGCCTGGACTCCTCTCCGGAACGAGGTCGATGGACCTAACGGCAATTAGCGTATACACACCCGCACATGGCTGCTAGTCTTCCCCAGCCACAGAGAGCATCTAGTAGGAACTTGTCTCGGTTGCGGCACCGGTCATGGTCATTGATGGGCATTAAGCTGCGTACTATGGAGTGAGGACGTCACCCTCGACGTAGTTTGGAAAGACGGGACCCTCATTCATGATGAGGTCAAGGAAATAATCGACGATGATCTGATATTGCAGGTCGCAAGCTCTTAGCTAGCTGCAACTTTCTGTGTGTGTACAACTGGACTATGGTTGCATTTCAATCTTTGAAAACCAAAGTCAAATACTATGCCGGATAGAATCTCAAGGTTTCTGATAACGTTCATGGCTGGCCTGACAGCTCCCAAACGAGACGAAACGTTAAGACATTGTGGACGATTTGACACCTGTCACTTCCCCATGTCATTGGACGGAACGCGCAGGCGTGTAGTTCGTGAATGTGAAACCTTTCCGTGGCAGTCCACAGCCTCGCGCATCGCTCCCGTGCGGTCTGATCTAGAGGGATCCAGCTCTACAAAAGCGTACGCACCGGGCGAATCTCATCCTCGTGGGCTTAGCGCCGTCACAGGGGCTTATCCTGTTCTCGTCGACATCATCACGGAAGCTAAGGTGTGGAGTCAGGTGGGATGGGAATGCGAACATGGCGTCTGAGACACTCCCTCAGCTGGCAATTTTGACTTCCACGAACGGGGCTAGTCTACATTCGAGGAACACCAGTTCGGGGCGTGTGGTGTTGTGGCAATCCAGCGACGAAAGGCCACGATTGTTCCCAAAAGAGTGATTCGTGAGAGAGAGTCGGAATTTCCTAATCTAACGGTGTTACATTCGCGATTCCCTGCATTCCTTCCCCAGAAAACCACCGTTAGAAAGCAATAACAAGAAGCTCAAAATTTGTGACGGTTGAGCTCTGGAGTAATTGTGGTCATTTCCGGCCTTTCTTCCACATTCATCTCCCACATGTGCTTACAGCACCTATCTCGACATCGAGCTAACAGCGCCCTGTCCCCATTTCTTAAGCTTTCCGGATGCTACCTTCGCTTCAGCCCCAGCCTCTCGGGTTGTCCGCTTTTGTTGATCTCGAACTCACCCCCGCACAGACATGAGACCTGTCACAGTATTAGGTATCTATCGTAAGTGTCTTTTTGTTCAATAAAACATCACAACCCAGATCTCTGCTGGGTATTTACAGATCAGCCAGCCATCGGTACGCCGCCATCTGAGGGCCTGTCAGCTGAGAGGCCTTTGAAGACCGAAAGCATCGCGGCCTGATCTTAGATTGCCGACCTCAGATGGTTTCCGCGAAGTTTCGGGAAGTCCAAAGGAGCTGAATCTCTCAGGCAGCCTTAAAATTATTTGTCCCGTTCAGATCCCGAAAGACTTGTTTCAGCATCTCGTCTTCCACCCGGGATGCTAGAGAACATCTCTGGCGGTTCAGAATCCGGGCGTAAAGCACTGACGTTAATGCAAAGCACGCTTGGCGTTAATGGAGGATCGTGAGGTATGACAGACTGAAGTAACAGGTGCGGCCTGGTGATGGGGCGCGGCCGGGCGAGACGCACCACGGGCACGATTGGCGCTGATCCTACTGTTCGCTGCTGGTATGTTGACTGACGCGTGGAGGCCCGACAAAGACGTGCCCGCCTACATTCGTGATAATAAACCATTGCATAGCACGTGACGTACTCAAACAACTGCGATATGGCATTAGTAAAAACGTATCCAGAATTTTTTCCAACTCTGCTCATATGCGGACTTTTTGATCGGCAGATAAAGGGAAACAAGAATGGATTGACACATGATTCGCTGTGACCCCTCACGGGAGTACGTACTTTTGTAATGATGCCATCTCGAAGCTGATGGGATACGTGTAGTCTTGATAGATCTGGCGGTACTGGGGGCCTGACAAACACACTTTCATAGAGCTCGAAGTGATCACCACACTTCTTTGAGAAGCAAGGTTACATACGCGTGAGGCATTCTTGTTGAAGTCGTCAAATAAAGTATTAAGTGATATTTCCCTTTCTCAATGACGTCGTGATCGACGCATCGACGCGGAAGCATTATGTCTCAGCTATCTACCCAGTTCCGTTACTTTGCATGAATCGCACATCTCATATACGTAGGCAAGTTCAACACCATTCCAGGTTCCATCTTGTGTCCACTCAAAGCCTCACTACCTTGGGAGGAAAAGTTTGGTATCATCTTGGCCCACGATGTTGATGGCACATGTGTCCATGAGTAAGAGAAACCCTCCTTCTATTCCAGTCGCGTCATTCGCCCGTCGATTCATCCCGCCTCATTGGCCCCATCTCGTGAGAATAAGAACCATCAATAACCTTTGTGTAAAAGTTGGGTGGATCACCGCCACTCCAAGTACGCGTCAGGTATCTCTTGACGAGGTATGGCAAATGCTCTCTGAGCTGGAACCGTACGAAGTCCTTCTTTGGCACCGCATAGATGAGACTCAGCTCTTCAAGGCTTACCTGCTTGGTTTCCTCGACGAGCAAAAAGACCAGAGCAAATGCCACGAGATTGAGTCCAGCGAATAGCGTTAGCGTACCATAGGGCTTCAGCGCGTCATTGACAGCTGGAAACACGATCGTGAGTATACCCGCAAAGAAAAGATTGACTGAGATGGCGGCAGAACATCCCTGGAGTATCACGTTAGTCTCGTGCAGGGCGTTGCAGAGATCGATCTATCTAGAACTTACAGCCTCACGCTGAGAGAGGGGAAAACTTCATGCGTAAGGTGTTAGTACTTTAGCCATCAAATGAGAGATCTGACATATTTGTAGATAATCTAAAAGACAGTTACCTTTCGGAAGCAAGTGTGAAGGGGATGGGCCCTGTAGTCACGAAGTTAACAGATGCTTTAGCTCCTTAGTTACTACGCGCGCCACTGACCAAGTCCTGGTGAGTACACAGCTGCAAACACTGACACGGCGTTAGTCATCCAAACAAACGTTTCTGCCATCTTGGAGTCTCACAAAAGATGAACAACGCCACGATTCCAATTTGGACGGGTCCCTTAGGAATTAGGAACGACATGGCCGCTGCGGCCAAAAGAATGCACATCAATGGCAGTGTGACGAGTAGCCACCGCCGTCTCCCGAAGACGTCAATAGATCTGGCAATTTGTCAGAAGGAGCTTCTTCAAAACGGTAACAAAAACTCCGAATCTAACCTAATTGCGAGAAGGCCGAACAGGAAATTGATGGCACCTGTTTATCATGCCAAATAAGTACACTACTGGTATATCCCGGTGACGGAGAGAGCTCAGAGTCTGACTTACCAAAGCCTAAGCTGTAAAGCATGGCGTTGCGAGGGCTCGGGTCTCCTTTGATGAAGAAATTGTCTGTTGGCATGGTAAGCATGAGCCGCGAAAATTGTCATGCGGGAGATGACTAGTCATACTTGAGTAGAAGGCGAAAACATTGACTGAAAATATTATTAGTTAGTTCAATCCTGATACGCCAATCGAAGGATATAGAATCTTACTTCCACAAAGCTGCTGTGCGAGAGCCACTATGCACGTGCTCCAGACTGCATTTCGCAGTCGTGGAGTGGTCAGGAGGTGGCTGTATTGCCGATAGGCATCTGATAAGGCGAATGACATGTGATTCGCGAATGTTAGACCCTGTTTTTGGTTCTCCGTAGACACGCCTGATTCATGAGGCGTCTCCGGTAGATTCTGTGCCTCTTCGTATTCAACGTTCATGTGGATAAGGTAAATATCTCGAAGAGCTTGAAGCTAGTTTGTATGTTTGATTTAGTAAATTACAGTGGGGGAGTATCATAACATGGAAACCAACCTGTGTGTTCCGGACTTTAGACAGGATTTCATAGGCACGCATGGGTCGATAGTTTGGTGTGTTCTTCTGCATATAGAATCGCGGGCTCTCCATGCAATATGCTAGTGCAATGAGCGTGAAAACGGCCGGGACCATGGGAGCGGCTAAGATTAATCGAAGCGCCAAGTCGCCTTTGACATCAAGAGGCACAGTACTGTCCTTTGGTTCAAGTGGAAAATCCAGAGCCCCCACAGCCCCGGCAAGGATTAAGTTGATGGCGTTTCCTAACATGATACCAAAGGCAACCCTGCCATGTGTGATATCGCCAATGCGTCAAATTCTCTGAATAGAAATGTTTAATCGAAATGAAGTGGTCAGGGGGACTTACCATAGTTGCCACATTAGGATAGAAGAGCCTCTCCATTGATCAATCGCAGTCTCAGATGCCAAGATCGGCGTGCTGACGGCTTTGATACCCATCCCTTGAAATTTGTCAATTGAACGTATCAGTCGGATCTCATGGCCTTGTGGCGACGTGAATTGTATAGGAGACACAGAATATGGAATTTTCGACTCACCAATGCCGTTGACAATCCTAACACCGAGAAGCTCCTGCCATGTGTGCACAAATCCAGAAGCCAAAGAGCTCGCAAAGATTAATGCGGCCGCAACAGCGATAGCACCTCGTCTCCCCATCCAGTAATTTAGCGGGAGTGACATCGGAGCGCCTAAGATAGCAGCGGCTAGGAATGGCGCCGAGTTCATTCCACCGAGCTGCCACACCAAATCACTCCGATCTGTTGTGCTAGAGACCTTTTCTTGAAGAAGTCTCGCGTAGATACTGCCGGCATTGATCGAAGCTTGAACATGGCCTTGTAGCAGAGCTGCTAGTGCCACAGTGACGACAATCACCGTCATACCACTTTGGGAGAATGCTTTGTCTCTCTCTGCCTTGAGCGCTATTCGTTCTTTTGGTTTCAACTTAATGGGTAGAGAATCTTGCAAGCCCTCGTCTGTATATGCCCGGATCTCCTTTGACACTTGGGCTGCTCTGAGGATTCGTTGGAAAGGAACACCGGGTAAGTTCTCGGCAAATTGTCGCACATCCTCCTCTAGCTCATCATCGTCAAGATGGACTGTTGTAATGGTCAGAATGAGAAATCTTACTTTCAGCGTCACATGTCTGAACAAAGACAAAGCCGTGACACTTACCTAATGGGGCTTCAATGATAGCTTCCGTATTGATATTTCTGCGGGAAACTTGTGCCCGAAACCTGTCGGCGATGGATGTGGTACTTGCCATGGGCTCGGTCATTTTGATGAGGTATGTATGCTCAGATTGCGGACAGAAGCGGTGGTTAAGCTTGGATTCACGAACTCAACTCCTAAGAGAACAGAGCACTTGCCTGATTACACCAGCTAGTCTTGTCAAGGTGAGTTGCTGTCAGCTTTTAATCTGGGTCTACCCTTATTACATAATTTTCCTGGAAGGTTGAGGTGGATTGGATCTGTGATGACATCCAGGGAGGCTGTGAGGCTGTCAAGTGTCAAATGTGACGACAGCCGGCATACAAATGCAGAAACCAAGAAAAGGCAACCATGAGGCGTTCTGGGTAGGCAAAGGGGCTTACTCCCTTGCCAAGTCATGTTCAGCTACCATTGACCAACGCTGGCAAATTCTTCCAATCAGATGAATAACATGGCATGAAGATTTGTCAGACACGAGGTGTGCAGCTCGTAAATCTGTGCATGTAGCTTGCTGGAGAATAGCACTCATAAAGCCTTCGTACTTTGGCGAAACATCTGAACATGATGTGCGTGAGTGCGAGGTGTGGGAATTCAACCCTAGTGATATAATGTATGGTGAGTGTGCCAACGCGGGGAGACCCCGCCCCCCACAAGTTGCCCCGGAACCAGGGATTGTAAACCATTGCGTTGGATCACTCGTGCCATTGGGCCATTCAGACGTCAGTCAGCCTATGATTACTTCCTGCGGTAAGCGGTGAGGGCGATTTGTAACTCTTAGCTGAATTCTACATACCGGTGTGAAAAGTGCAGAGACATGCAGAAATACCTAAATCATGGCATGTAGGAAAAGCAGCCTTGTCATCAATCGAGAACCTACACCGCGGAACAGCTAGTGACGCGTATGAGCACATGCCCATGCAGTTCGCCCGAAACTCAGACCTACTGCGGATGCAGTTTCTGTGGTTTATTGTCGAAGTAGAAGTAACAAAGTTGGCAGCCTAGCAGAACGTGGCTTGCAAAGCTGGCGCCCCCCGTCTATTAGGTACGCTGTCGTCTGATTTCTTCGAACTGGCCAATGAGCTAGGACTGTGACGTGAAAGTATCTGATGCAGAAACTAGTAGGATGAACATAATTACCCTCTCCCTCGGAACCTTCGAACCTTCCAGTTCTTACTGCCAATCCTAGGTACGGTCGCTAGTGCCACAAGAGAGAACCCTTCGTATCGGCACTCACCATGGAGGCAGCAGCAGCTGTAATCGGACTTATTCACCCAACCTGTAAGGCTGCCTTGAAGATACATGAGATCATTAAATCGGTCAAACATTCGCAGAGCAACTTATCGCGACTTCAAACGAGAATCGAGGCCCTTTCCAGCTGTTTGACGCTGCTTGGCGATGAATGCAAAGAGAGAAGGAGGGCCCACCTCTTGAAATCGGAAGACGAGCATTTCACATGCATCAGAAACATCATAGAAAACTGCCGGACTTCACTTGAAACTCTCGCCGATCGACTGAATAAGATTGAAAGCAAACCGTCAGGCTTTTCTCGCAACCTGCGGATGGCATGGGACCTGGCATTTAGTCGAGACGATGTTCAACAAGCGTCGGAAGAAATTAGTCACTACACTTCCGTGTTGAACCTCAGTCTTTCTACCCTGTCACTGTGAGGAGGATACCACTGATGATCAACGGCCGTAACTAACATCTTTTCCCATGTAGTGCACAAACATTGGAAGCGAAGCAACCGCATACCGAGATAATAGGGAGGGTGCAATATGTTGCGCGCAGACTCCGTGTCGAAGTCGAAGTCTCTCAGTGTGATACCTCACTACCTGGCCCTGGTTATGTAGCCATTGGAGGTCAAGAAATCAATAATCCGATTTTCGCAAGGACTATTCAACAATGGAATAGGTCAGCAGTCAGTTTAGCGGAGGAGGTTCTCCTCGAAGGGAATCAGGACCTGAGGATCTCCAGACCTAGAGTACATGGCAGTATTCCTAGAGGTTCCATCTCTGGTGAGCGCTCAGAGCCTCAAGAGCAGGAACCCTCTTTCAATCCTCAACTGCAGCTCTACAAATATAAGAGGACCGTCGAGATTGTAGAGCTATTGCGAGTTGGCGAATTATTCGAAAATGCCACTCAACATCTCCAAGACGCGGTGAGCATACGCAAGCTGCTGGCAGAGGCAGGGAAGAAGGAGTTCAATGAACTAGAACAGCAAGATCTGGATGAACAACTCGCAGATCTCAACATCATGTGTGAGACTGAAGTAGGAACCGCAAAGGCAAGAAGAATTCTGGAGGCCTTGAACCATCAATGCGACATGCAACAACCAATTGATCTAGGCCGATCGTCCAGGCTACATCATAAACTTGGGAAGCTACTATTCGATGGCCGATATTTGCTCGGGGCTTGCGGACATCTTCAGACTGCTATAGAGCTTCGACTACAGGAAGATCCTAGGGACAGGGAGAGAATTATGGAAACTTACGAACTTCTGCGTCATGTGCAAGGACTTCGTGGTAGCCACGCCGAATTCCTGGCTACAAAAGACTGGGTTGAAGAGGAAATTGGACCTGTCGAAGACTCGCCTCACAATGAGTTTGATGCAGCCTTGTTTTGGGCTCACAAGAAAGGTTTCCACGAAGCTGCATTGGATGACATGAACTTACCCAAGTTTGATGTTTGTGATTCCCAAAAGCGACCACTTTTATTCGCCGCCATCGCAGACGGCGATATGGAAGTCGGGGTCCTCGAACAAATTATTCAGTACTATCAGAATCTCGAACTTACCGACAGCAACGGAGAGACACCCCTAATGGCGGCGGTGACGGCTGGCCACGTGTCGGCGGTGCGTCTTTTACTAGAAAGCGGTGCTGATTCAGACTTCAAAGATAAGCACGGCCGTCACATCCTTTACAAATGCCAGACAGAAGAAGTGGCCGAGGAAATCTTCACAGCAACTTCTAATCGGAGACTCAGCGTCACTGCGGAGGCTAGCAGACTCCGGCGTGCTTCAACGGCCCGCTTGGACATATCACCTGTTCAAAGTAGAGCCAGTGATACATCTCTTTCGTCGATAGATATCAACTCTCGAGACTTTTATGGTAAAACGGCGCTTTACCATGCATGCGAAAAGGGGAACAAGGATGTTGTATCGGTTCTTCTCCAATCCTTCAAGGCAGATACCGAGATCTGTGGTCCAAGAAAGTGTACGCCACTCATGGCTGCAATCCAAGCACAGTCCAACGTTAGAAACGGAGGAACGCCTGGGAGTCAAGCTGCCTTTATCAAGAAGAAGGTCGATATTATTCGAATGCTGGTAGCACATGGTGCTGATCGGAAGGTTCCATCTTCCACGCTTCGAAGTGCTGGTGTGGCACATGTGGAGATAAAGAAGATCTTGGAGAGTAAGGTGGGACCGCAGGGGAGTACGAATACTCTTTCTAGTATAGCAGCGTCTGCAAGTAGTGGCGTTGTTGAAGAAGGGTGGCAGATGGTAGCGAGAAATGATGCGAGGCACACAGGCTTGGCCGCTTGATTGCACGCTGGCGGTTTTGAAGGAGAGGGAGCTCGCAGATTCGACTGAATACATCAGGCTTAGATCTCTTGGTGTCGTGGACGTTGATAGAGACATGTGGAATTTGAGCATCTTATCAGTACCATACCTGACTTACGATACTCTATAGAGTCGTAGAACTGTCAAGTGTCGGCTTCCAGGGTCTGACTGAAACTGCCAGCTGTGAACATGCTGTCCAGCATCATCATCAAGGGGTAAAAAGCCTGTCTGCCTTTGTTTTGCAACAAGGGTCCTGACAGGTCCTGACAGCGTTCCCCCTCCTCCAAGAATTACCTGTGTCTAAAGCGGGCATACAAGCACGAGGGTTACATTCCATATGCGCCTCAAAGTGCGAACCAACGTCAAGGCCGCTAGACTTATCTACCCGAGAAGCGAGTGATCAAAGATCGGCTCGAACTCCACTGTGACCTCGGACAGTAAGGGAAAATCGACACGTCTCAATGAACCGGATCTAATAATCCCCGGGGCGCGACCATCAAGGTCCTCGAATCCCAAGCCAACATGACCCGAGATCTTGGGCGCTAGCAAATGCAAGTCATCGCAGAATCGTCTATAGCCGCCTTGAAGCTTATTTCCACTTGAACTTGCCAAATGATTCTCTTTGAGGCAAGGAATATTGGAACCAGTGGCTTTACGCAAAGCTTCAAGTTAGCTAAGAGCAGAAAGTCATGTGACTTTTCAATAAATGAGACTGCCAACACATTGGTAATTCAGAGCTTTGAGTACTATCAGGTACCGTACTTAAATTGACTTGCCTACTTCAGTGCTTTAGATATAAGTCAGGACTTTTTTCTTCCTGGTCTCAACGGATCAAGTCTGGAAGAAGAGAACATCGAGTTAAGCATCGTTAATATCTCCAGCCCCAACAATTGATTCTACGCCATTTACCGAGTTTTGACTAACGAAGGTTGCCGGGCCGGCATCCCACTCACGCGTGACGCTACATGATTAGCCTGGCGTGGGGCCGATCGCCATCTCCGAAGAGAAACCTTACAGGGAACATGGCAGTCAGGACTCAAGCGATCAAACAAGATGGCAGAGCACGCCCAGCCATGGATGTTATCGCATCAATCAGCAACTCCCCGCTTCGCCAAGACAACTGATTGCATTGTTCGTTGCCAAGTCTTTGAGCCGGCATCCAACCATAAGCACATGCCTTTCCCGTCATCTTGGCCCAGCTCCTCATTGCCAGGGTCAATCTCGGTCTTGAAAAGAAGTTGGGAAATTTGCGGCGCACTGCTGGAAGGTTTCGGCAAGTATCGCATTTATTCGACAAACTATTCGTCAGCGCCAATGGGAAGAGGTTGAACGGCTGGACTGACGTGCTCAATTCGGTTCTTGGGGATGCGTCAGTGAAAACCACTGACCTGCCACCCTACATACCAATGACCCTGCCGCCTTGAGGATGGGTTTGGAGTTTGGGCGAACACCCATTTCACAGTGACACGATGTTCTTGATCTAGCTGACCGAGTTCACTAGGCCTCGA